TAACTGGCCAGCAGAACCCAGAGCTTATCTTGAATACCTCAATTAGAACAACTCCTTTATTGATTCCCACGGATGTTGTGGCTGCCCCTGGATCCYTGGAAGYGTCCAAGGCCAGGCTGGACAGGGCTTGGAGCAGCCTGGGATAGTGGAAGGTGTCCCTGGCCATAGCAGGGGTGGAACTGATGGTCTTTAGGAKCCCCTCCAACTCAAATAAATCACTCTGTGATTAAGCCAAATAATTTGGGTTGGCACAGACAGCCTAATGACTTATTCAGATCATGTAAATGGGATTTAGAGAAGTCTCTCCCAATGTCAGATCTTCCACAGGTACCTCAAGAGCCAGGGAAGTGTTGGGTGATATTTCTTGGCCCTTCAGCAGTCCCTGGGAGCCCAACAGATGCAGATTTTCTGGAGCAATGACCACCTGCTATGATGATGTCAACCCATGATCTAAACTCAACAGCACAGATCAAACCACAACCTCCTGCTGTAAAAAAAAATAAAATCCAAACCAGAGGTAGAAAGTGCAGAGCAGGTGAATCACCAAGACCAGAGCTCTCTCAAACCCCTCCACAACCTCATCTGCATCTTCCCAACCCTACTTTGAGCCAGTCTTTTGTCATAAAGAGCCAGATGAAAATATCAAGCTTCCCCTGCCACTTCAGTGATAATTCATAACAGAACTCAAAGAGCTGATCTGCTGGTGCAAAAAAAAAAAAACAAAACTCCAAAACAAAACAAAACAAAAAAAAAACCTAAACAAACAACACCCAGGCACTTTTGAATTAATTCCAGTATTGTATTTGGTAGCCAGATTTCTAGGAAATGTTGTGAATAATCCAAGTAATTCAGTGGAGTGTTGCTGGGGTTTTTGGTTTTGTTTTTACAGAACACAGGAGCACGTGGAGTTTCAGTTTTGCAGCAGAACTCTCAGAAAACAGGGGTGTTCCTTCTATTATTTTATTACAGGCCTTCTGATAATTCCCAGAAATAAAAATCTACAACAGACCCATGAGCCACCCCTGTGTGCTCTCCCACAGGTAGCAGCAGTTCATCTCCTGCTGGCAAACTGGGCATCTCATGGGGAAAAACCCATTGTGAAAGGATCTGTTTCACAAAAACATTTAAATTAATCTCCTAGTTAAGCAAACAATTCCAAGTCAGATAAAGTCAAATAAAAATTTTTAAAAAAAAGAAAGAAAAAAAAAGAAAAAAAAATAACCCCAGCGCACATACCAAGCTGAACTGCAAACTGAAAAACAAAAACAAGCAGATAAAATATATCCAAACATCCCAAGCCAGACTGGGGCCTTGGGGCCCTTCAACACAACTGTGATTTATTGTGCCAGCAAAACCAATTAATAAGTCAGAGGAGACCAAGCAGTGAGGGATTTGCTCTGGAAGACCAAAAGAAATAAATAAATTTATGCTGGGGGATCTGTTGAGCCAGCTTTAAAACAATGCAACAATTCAGATATCCCCAGCGCTGCGCTGGGATTCCTTCCCTGGGATTTTGCAAGAGGAACCAGAAAACCTTYGGTTTTGTCTCTTATCTGGGAAAGTTCTTGGCTCCGTTAAAAACCACAYTGTAATTTAGGCAGAATTTAATTATTTGCAGGTAATTCCAGGGACTTTAGAGCTCAGCACTAGAAGTTCCTCCACCTCCACGAGGAGGATGCAGGATGCTCACAGGAGACAATGGGGGGCTTGCTGAGTTTATTCTGATTGCTGAGCTGCTTTTCATCAGAACTCCAATTATCCCCAGGTTTGGGGCTACACCATCATCTCATTACTCACTCCAATCCACCAGAAAGAAAACTCATTTGTCAAAACACCTTACAGAAGGTTTAAGTGACTTGAACACACAGGGAGAGGGACACCAATTATCACCAAGCCCTGCCAGGTTTGCCTGTGCAAGAGGCTTGTTCCACAGACTCAGAAAAGGGAATAAAAGCATGCATTTTCATCAGGAAGGTGGCAGAGGACAACTGTTAAAATTGCCAATACACATGGGTTGAAAACAGAGTGTGGCTAACAGCTGCCATCAAATCTGCTRCCACCACCCTCAATCAGAAATCTCCAACTGGGCAGGCACAAATTTATTTCCTTCTTTTTTTCTCTTAATATTGCCTGTACAGAACAAACTACTAACTGGATTTTTTTTTCCCAGCTAAATTGTTTTTACCTTCTGCAAGGCACTAAATGCTAAAAAAGTGGTTTCCAGTCAAGTTCTTCCAGAAACGGGGAAAACAGAGTGGAAACCTGAAGATACGGTCTTCCCTTGATAAACTTCCCCAATTTTTACCTAATGAACCAGTTACAAATAGGCTGGAGCCACAACAACCCTCCGAACTTCCCAAACAGTCCCTTACTAATTCACTAGAAAATCCTTCCAGGGCTTTCCCCAGATCCTCAGTAATTAACAGAGCTACAAATTACTAAACACTTGAAGTTTTTATGGCTGTAAACATCCAAGAGGCTCTTCCTTTGGTGCTGAGGCCAAAATCACCCACCACAACCCTTCAAACTAAAAACAAGGTTGCAGCTTTTCAATTTTAACATTGCTGCAGCTGCTGCTGAGAGCACAGCAAGGGTAAAGAAAAGTTAGCTGGCAAAAGACAGACCCAGGCTCCGAGCAGAGCCTCAGATATGCTCAGAAACAAAAACATCCTAATTACAAAGAATACAGAAAACCATATGTATATGCAAGATCCCGGGAGGAGATAAGGAAAAAGCTCTGCGCAGAGCCAGAGTATCAAAAGATGTTGCTCTGCTGAGAAAAGGGGGAAAAGTGTCCACAAAATAGCATTAAAGGAAGAGGTTTATTGGGTTTTTTTTTTGCCCTCTCCCAACACAGCATTAGGGGATTGGGATTTTTATCATTTCAGAGGTGGGGCAAGAGYATCTCTCKCCTGCCTGGCAGATCCCAACAAGTGGTGCCAYGAAGCCRCTCMSTGATTTCGCAGCCCCGTTTCAAAASAAGCTGTTTTGAAACCCTGTGAGAAGGTAACATCATTGTCTGTGGTTTCCTCCAGCCCCGATGACGTTCTGGGGTGAAGGCTTTGAGAATCGCGGAACTCCCGCAGAGAAATCACCAAAGCAGCGGGGTGGGAATCTCACACCGGCATCCTGCGGGATGCTCCAAGGTTCAAGCAGGCAGCAGCAGGTGACTCATCACTCCACAGAGGCTGAACTCCTCCAAAAGGTCAGTTTGGAGTGAGGAGTAAAAGTGACAGCAGCTTTGAGCGTGAAATAACCAAGAAATTCACTGGATTTCCCATCGCAAGCAACGCGGCGCTCAGTGCCGCACGCAGCCCTAGGAGGAACTCGTGAGCAACATCCCCTCCTTCCCCAGACCGCAAAGAAACACAACAGGAAAGCTTCCTGAAACCCTCAAAGGCAGCTCCAAGGTGCTGTCTCCTTAAGGTAGAGAAGAAAGATGAGTAATAATATAAATTTGGGGCAGAAATGCCCATTGCCGTGGCACCGAGTCGACAAAAAGAGAAACTCTCTCAGAGATTTTCACAGAGGATGCCACAACTACAAACATGTGCTGTAAAAACATTCAGAGACCTGCTTTTGGGGGGGGTTTTGTTTGTTTGTTTTTGTCAAGAAGGGGGCATGTAGAGACACAGGATTCTAGGACAGACAGCTGGGTTTGGGGTCTGTCCTTCCTCCCAAACCAGCAGCGGTTCTCCCCAAGCCCTTACACTGCTCTCAGCCACAAGCTGGAGGCTCTGTCACCTCCCCAGCTCCCAGCCTGGCTCATCCTCTCACATTCCCAGCCCTCAGGAAAGCAATGATTACATCCCAGGAGCCAACAAGCAAGGTGAGAAGGAAAGAAGGAACAGGGCTACCCAGACTTCACGTCCCACATGCCCTCAACAAACGTCCCTGAGATCAGACATTATTTCCTGCCCTTCTGCACCAAAACCCAGACTCCAGAAAACACCTCTGACCAGAGATGAGAGGMTTTGCTTCCAGTTTCATCCCTGGACTCCCCAAAATTGGCTCTTTGTACAAGAAGATGAGAGCCAATGCCAAAGGCAGTTCTGTCAGCAGCGCTGATGGATCTCCTGACATCTGGCAGACATTGATCTTTCCCTTCCAGATGTGAACTAAGGCTTGGCCCCTGGGACAAGAAAGATGAGCCTTGTGACAGCTACAGGCATGTAAGAGACTAAATAAACACAGAATTTTCATCTTTTCCTCTCACCATTTGGAAGTMCTGAATATTCCCAGCCCTTCCAAGGGCAGGAAGCCTCAGGGACTACTTCCTGAAGAAGCTGGAACTCTCCAGAAGATCTCTCCCTAACACCCTACCCACATGCTGTTTTGGGGGAAACACATGGCAGGGGGTTAGAACTACACGATCTTTAAGGTCTTTTCCAACCAAAATTATTCTATGATTCTGTTTCTCCAAAATCAGCAGAGAAGCTGGGACTTCACCGCACTTCAACATCCCTTTGTCAGTAAAACATCTCTGAGATCTCAGTCACCTTGGTTGAGGCAGATGATCCAAGCTTCCAAATGCCACCATTTCATCTTGCTTCAAAGAAAAAAAAAAAATCTTTGCACTAAAAAAGATGAGTCTGCCAGAGCCATCCAACAATTGCCTGATGCTCCTTGGCAGGATGTCTCCAAAGGGATCCACCACCCACATGATCCCYGCTCCAGAAAAAGACAAGCAAATACACCTGCCAGGCTGGATGACAGGAAACATCATGAAAGAACTAGAAAAACAAGGAGCCACCCAGAACAGTCACTGATGACAATGTGGAGTTGATTATTTACTGCCTGCCTATCTGAGACATCTACAGGATTTAAAAACACGGAGCCTGCTCCCAGTACGAGGTTACACAACCACCACACCAGACTGTTTTCACATCACACTTCAGCTAAATGGATTCTGCATCACCCATGTCAAGTTTTCAGCCACCCCTGTAGTGCAGCTCTCCCTCCAACAAGGTGCGTGCACAAAAAAGTCAAATAATACTTGCCACTCTCTTCAAAGAAGTATCCATTTCTTGACATCGCTGCAGGTGGAGACTCTGGAGAAAACAGAAAAAAAAAGAAACATGAGAATCAAGATGCTGAATTGTCTTCACTTTACAGCACAAAGCCAGTCCCAAAATACTGCAGGCATCAGGTTTTCCTGAATGTGGTAAATTTAACCTTTTGCTTATTGATGTTACAGTATTTACCAGAACTTTCCTTTCCAGCCACAGGCAGTACTTGAAAAGAGTTAAGTCTCAGACACCCTGGGCTGGGACCACAAAAGAGCGAGACTAAAGATCAGGATGAGTCTGATCATCTCGGGGATTTACCAGACCTGAACAAGTATGTCAACAATAATACAAACTCAACATCTGAAAGGWTTTTATTAAAAAATACAACCCATAATGAAGTCCAGGTTGTTTAGAAAAAAAACAACTCAATTTTGATGAAAATGGGAATTCACTTCCCATTCTGCTGCTCCTAATCATTAGGATATCCCCAAAACACTGCCTGGCACTTGAAGATAACCCCCAGCACACTCCAGACTCCCTTGGCCCRCTTCCTGAGCTGGGGTCCTGCAGCCAACACCATCTGCACCAGCAGGGTCTGGTGAGGAAGCCACAAATGGGAAATTACACTGAGCAAGAGCGAATCCACAGCCCTGACAGCAGCAGGAATGCRTCCCCATCATTTATTAGGGAACATGAGGCTCGACAGGGAGCCAGTTCTGCAATTCATTGCTGGCAAAGCGGGTGTTGAACATTTCTTTGCGTGATAGAAGAGCACAGGAGCACCTGCTCTCAGGTGTGATCAAAGCTTGGTGCCCAAACACAGCCTGGCAGCTCTGAATGATGACAAAAAGTGACAGCTCAGCCTGCGTGGGCACAGGCAGCTCCCCTGCACAGGTGCAGGGCCCATTTCACAGTGAGTAACAGAGCTCTTCATTTCAAGCCCCGTGCAAAAGTCACCCRAACAGCAACTTGGAAATCTGGTACTCGATGCTGCCTCCTCACACACTTCTTCCCAGCCAAAATGCAATCAGAAAGAGGAATAAGTTTGCTCTGTCTTTCCCCACTTCATTAGGCTAATCAAACATTACCTACGCAAGCCTGGGATGAATTTGGGCCAACAAGGAAAGAGGTTTTGCCTGCCTTATTGTTCTCCAGATTAGGCTTCCTGCTTTTCCTTTGAGGTATGACACTGTTTCCCAAAKCCCCTTTCTCTGCCCCATAACTTTTGGCGTACAGGTTGCAGRCTCTTTATTCCCTYGGACAGTGTGCCACGTTTTCAGGCACCACAATCCACCCTACAAATCCATCCCACAAATCCCCCGGGAGYCTTTGTGCACATGACRGATGAAAGTCACGCCACTGAYGGCAGCACCTCCCAGCCCTTGGAGTGTCACTTGTCACCCCTCGGACCTTCCAGTGGAGACAGGTTCCTGAAGGGATACCCTGATGGCCATTAAAAAAAAAAAAAATAGAAAAAAAAAGAGCCAGCACATAAACCAGAGGGCAAYTCGAGTGTCTGGTCCAAGGGAGAAACACAATGTTCCAAAGTTCATCCCAGAACAATGGGCCGGAGGAACAAACGGCACCGAACTGTGGCCAAGGGGCACCCATTACACGAGTCAATTGTTTCCCTCCACCTGGAAGGGAAGGAGAAGATTCATCCAGACTGATTAGCATGGTAATGATCAAAGGAAAGTTTTTAAAGAGGCTCTTATTGTGCAATGATTGCATTTACGTATTTCAGGGAAACAAACAAAATACGCCTCGGCGGGTGGATTACCCAAGGAACCCACATTCCCACCRGGATGGTTTATCCATTTCTCACTCCTGTTACGGCTTCTGAGGGAGCCTGAAGCAACATGTTCATCCCTCACTGAGACACTATGCTTTTCCTTCCACTGCACACAGCCATTTCTGCAGGTTGATGTTGTCTAACCATCGGGAATCGGTTGGTTTCTTCCCCAGAAATTCCTTCCAACTGCAGCATTGCCTGGGTTGGCATCACACCTTTACTGGAGACTGGTTTGGTGCCTGCTTGGAGCAGGCATGAAAAGGGCAAGGCTGGGGTGTTGCAGCAGGCAGTGCCATTTCATTAGGTGCCACTGGTTCCTCTGAGTCACTAATGAGCCCCAGTCCCCCCGGCAACATGCTCGGGCAATTATGGTGGAGGTGCTGGTTTTTYCAGATGAGTCATAAAACAGAGGTCTTAACCTTGTAATTAAAGATGCAATGGCACGTTTGGGGGAAAAAAAAAAAGTCAGGCATTCACCCTACTATGTCCTGGCAAAAATCCAGGCTTGGTAATTTGTCTTCTCCCAACGTAATGCTGTCCCACAGCACCAACCAATTCAGACTTCCCAACAGCCTTGTTGGCGCCTTTGGAAAAGCTGTTACATCCCCCACGGAAGGGGCACATTAATATCAGGAACCTTCGTGMAACGTGCCCAGGAGGTAAAAGGTGATGGGTGTTTACACAAGCCCAGGCACAGGCAGGGAGCCATGGGAGCAGCTGGAAGGTCAGGGGATTGGCAGAATGGAGGTGGGATGGGTTAACTGGGGTTTTGGAGGTGCATCTGTACCTCTGAAGGTGGGATGGGTAAATTGGGATTATGGAG